AACCTTACCATTTTGTGAGTGAGTGCATAGACTGTGCTTCTGAATGACTGTATTTAAATGCTAAACTGGCATTGGGTGAGTTAAAAGAACCAAAACAAAGACAGCATTACGGCAAGTAAATCATATTTTTAAAGCAGAATATCTGACTTTAGCATTGTTTTTCATGTAAGCAATAATGTTCACCTGGCATGTTTCTTAAATATTTGAAAACATGGTATTTTTATGCTTTTGAAGAGTCAAAAACTTACAAACAGCACGTTTAAGGATTGCCTTAATCAAAAACTCTAACCAAATGTATTTTGACAGGTGTGTTCACTGCTCCAGTGAGGGGGCGATACTTCTTCAGTGCAGTCTTGACAGGTCACAAAAATGTCAAGATAGAGGCGGTTTTATCTAAATCCAATTTTGGCATTGCCCGTGGAGATTCAGCAGGCTATCAGCCCGAGGGTCTTGAGAAGCCCATGGCTGAAGCACGGCACACTCCAGGTTCTCTGGTCATTTTTAATATCGTACTTCCTCTGCAGGAGGGAGATACAATCTGCATTGATTTGGTCACAGGTAAACTTGCCCACTCCGTGGAGCCGCTCACCATCTTCAGTGGGATGTTGCTCTATGAGGAATCAGAGGACAGGCTGTAAGGCTCATTTAAGACTCACTGAGGACAAAGACGGATGTAAAAAATTTGTATGGTGATTTTTTTTTTTTGAAGAACAGTTTTATATATATATTCAGCGCTGATACAAAATATATGCAAGTTTCATTTATGGCAGGCCACAAGGACACGCAAGAAGGATATATTTTTATCTATTATCAGAACAATGGACTGAGATTTTTTTATATGTTCATGTTTTTATATATATATATACTGTATACTGTATGTGAGTGTCATGTTTTCTTATAGTATAATGCAGATTTGAGCAGCAAAGATCTTTCTTAAAAAAGCCCACACACATCACTTTTTGTCTTTGAAGATCGACTGCTAAACTGGGATTTCTTATTACGCAATCACCTAAAACAGTCATCAAGTGTTGAATGGGGATTTACATCAGTGTTTTGATCTATGCTGCTATAATCTTTCATACTAGTATTTGAATGTGATTTTTTTGAATGTTTGTTACATTAAAAAGAAAAGCACTCTGTGGTTGTCAGTAATTGGCGTCACTCGAAATTGATCAGTGCTGCAGCAAACAATGATCAAAAAAATGGAGAATGGACATTGCTGAGAGTCAATTTTCCTGATAATATTTCAGCAGTCACATCATACGGTATGTTAATGTCTAATGAGGTGCAATATGCAAAATCTACACACTTTTGGTCAAATGTTGAAAAAGCTACGATTTTCTTTTTTTGCAATTTATTCATTCAGGCAGTTTGACAACATACTGAAATATTTGCAGCAGGGTAAAAAGGTAAACAGAGCAAAATATAGTGTATTGACACGCACAGTACAGTGTATTTACAGTCCTTAAAAGGGACCTGTTATGCCCTCTTTTAATTTACAAGATGTAAAATAAGTATGTGATGTTGGTGGCCTAGAGAATATATTTGAAGTTTCAGCTCAAAATACTCAACAAATATGGTTTTATAACTCTTTGAAACTGCCCCTTTTAGGCTTTGATTCAAATTGTGCCATTTTGGTGACTGTCGCTTTAAATTCAAATAAGACTGTACTCTTCTCTTAAGAGGTCGCAGAGCTACATACGCCTGTATGTCAACATAGCGGCAGATTAAAAACAGGACTAAAGTTATCAGTGTGAGAAACTGAAAATGTGAAAAGAAGTGTCTCAGAAGAAGGCAGTCTATGGAGACTGCAGTGTTCATTTGTGCATCCCTAAATTCATTTACATATTTATAATCTTCTTAGTCGCTGACATTATCTTCAGCACGTAAAAACTCTAATGGTGGACGGCTGCTTCTCATTCAGGGCTGTATATTCTAATGAGGGAGAGATTGTCACTAATGGGCGGGATTTAGCCTCTGATGACACGGGAAAACGTCAATCAAAGTGTTTCTGCAGACTGTTTTTTATAATTGTGATTATAATAAAAAATATAATTAACTTTTTAAATATTCTCACACTGTTGCCACACAACTGCGCCTAAACCTCTTATAAAAGTGATTTTTGCATCATAGCTCACATTTAAATTTTTGTTAATCGTAAGTATTTAATTTAATAAATTTTCTTTTTTTTTTTTAAAGGTATCACACCACCAATATTCCCTTACAATTTTACCTGCCAGTGTAAGCTTCACTAAAAATAAAATATAAAAACAACCATGGATCGTGAGCAAAAAAAAAAAAAAAAAACCTTTGTGTAACATTGATGTGGTTTTATTTTAAACTAAAGAAAGATTTTCCTCCATCATAGGCTCCATTTCTGTAGTTTTTTTTAGGATGGATGCAATAAATATAACACATTATATTATCTATTATATCCCTTTTCCTTGGTGTGTTATTCATTCATATTTGTGGTGCATTTCTTTACTTTATCTCCAAATTTGGAAGAGTAACTATAAAAGGATGAACTCAAATAAAGCACACTGCGCAGAGACTGGGACATTTTTAGCCACGCCAGAGGCTATAGATCAGGAAACTTCTCTAACTCTTCCAAAGAAAACTATCGAAGCTGTTTATGCTAGATGCAGAAAAGATTGCATCCTGGCTATATTTTTGTCAATGGATCTTTATTTCATCTCTGGGCTGCAGATGTTCTCTAAATAGTCTAAATCTAACAGCTCAGAATCTGTCTCTCTGCCAGACATGTGTGTTTGTGTGACCTTAGCTGTCTTGGTGGTCTGTGCCTAATGTTTTCTTTAATACAAAGGGATTTAAAGGAATTTGCATGGAGTCTAGTACTATGAGATCAAACCTAGACCATTAAGTCCAGTCCAAGGTTTTTATAAATATATAAAACTAAATGTTAAATTTTGCACAAATTACAAGTTTAATCTCATTTTAGTAAATCATATCCACAATTTAGTAATATGTTCACTCTTTTTAGGTGCATCATGATCACCAGTTCCATCATTTAAGCAAAATGTAGCCATGATGAATTTATTTGTTGTGTTTGTCCTTAATTAATCTACATGTGGTTTTAAACAGCCCAACATTTTTATTTCGTGCTGTATACAGTTGAAGTCAGAATTATTAGCCCCTCGTTATTTTTACCCCCAATTTTCTGTTTAACGGAGAGAAGATTTTATCAACACATTTCTAAACATAATAGTTTCAATAACTGATTTCTAATAACTGATTTATTTTATTTTTGCCATGATGACAGTAAATAATATTTTACTAGATTTTTTTTTTGAAGACACTTCTATACAGCTTAAAGTGACATTTAAAGGCTTAACTAGGTTAATAGGGTTAACTAGGCAGGTTAGGGCAATTAGGCAAATTGTTGTATAATTATGGTTTGTTCTGTAGACAATCAGAAAAATATAGCTTAAAGGAGCTAATAGTTTTTACCTTAAAATGGCTTTAAAAAGTTTAAAACTGCTTATATTCTCGCCGAAATAAAACAAATAAGACTTTCTCCAGAAGAAAAAAGTATTATCAGACATACTGTGAACATTTTCTTGCTCTGTTAAACATCATTTGGGAAAGATTTGAAAATAAGTAAATAAATAAATAAATAAATAAATAAATGGGGGCTAATAATTCTGACTTCAATGTTATATAATGGAATGAATTGGTTAATTTGTGGTGACAATATACATATTTTTCTTCACATCATACAGTATGTGCAGGTCTCTGTAGATTTGCAATTGGGAAGTTGTATCAGTTGTAATCTGATCCATAATGTTAATATCAGACAGCATCATCTTAATTCTCACTACAGGCATTACATAGCAGTATTAAGTAAATAAAAAAGTCCTCACATTATTTCAGCCAACATTTGATTTTCATAAATGTTGAGTCACCCTACTGGATACACAGTATATGTTTTGCAAAGCTGCTTTTGTAATAAACAATGAAATTTTGACAAAACACTTTTTGTGTAATCATTAAAGTCTATCGGTTTGTGTATTTGTATATTTCTTTTTTCTAAGTTGTATTAGAGATATACGTTGTATTTTCTGTTTAAATAGTAATTTATATGTGACCTTGGACCTCAAAACCAGTTTTAAGTGACATGGGAACAATTTCGGCAATAGCCACAGATATATTGTATGGGTCAAAATTAATCTTTTTTTGTTTTATGCCAAAAATCATTAGAAAATTCCATGAAATTTTTCCATGAAAATATTTTATATGTTCCTACTGTGTGTGTATATATATATATATATATATATATATATATATATATATATATATATATATATATATACATATATCAAAACTGAATTAAGTTGCATTGTTGGTAAGCACTTAATTTGGACAAATTTAAATGTGATTTTTTTTTAGTACAGTATTTCATTTTTTAACCCTCAGATTCAGATTTTCAAATAGGTTAGTTGCATCTCCAACAAATTTGGTTTAAACAAACCATATATCAATGCAAAGCTTATTTATTCAGCTTTCATGTTATGTATAAATCTCAATTTCATAAAATTGACACTTTGGTGTTTTGTTGTCCTGTGTCCCACATTACAATGCTATTTATAAAGTGTTAGCGTCCTCTAGTGGACGACATCAATATTCCACAAGTTTTCTTGAACCTTGAGGTCTCTTCTTCCTGTATGACTGAGGTTAGGTTTAGATGATAACAGATTAAATTATGCATGAACTCTACTTGGTCGTGAGATAACCATATCCATTATGACCATAGCTCGAGGAAGTCTCTCTTTGTGATGGATGTCACTTACTGTCACTCATTCAAAAAGTTACTCACACGCTTGAAGACATGCCATGAAAACCGATACACCGTTTCTCTTCAAGCTCAACCCGGGTCAAGTGATCACGTAAAAGTGCGGTAATTCTACCTGAGGCCATTTCTAAATCAGAAAGAGGAGGAGACAAACGAGGCGAGGCGGAATTTACTTCTTCAAGAAGCTTTTAAAGAGTTCAAGGGCCACGGCGTGCTGTTTCCATAGAGACACACACAGAAAGCCGCGCTTGCAAACTATGCTGAATGAAACATTAGTCACATACACTGCTCATTTCAGACATCGACTAAAGGTAAGAGAATCTGATTATTGTTTAACATTAGTGTTATAAAACGTGTGGATGTACAGGTATAGTAGTGAGGTTGCTAAAACAAATCTGTCAATTGCAAAGTGGGAAAAGATCCAACGTTGAAAATCGGGACAATGTAAAAGATAAACGAAATAGTTCACGTGATCCTTTAAAAATCATTCTAATATCCTGATTTGGTTCTCAGTCATTATTGGAACTCTTTTATAATGGTTCTTAATATTATTAGGGGTGTTATTAGCAAACTATTTTGTGGAAATGATGACATATATTTATTAAAGTTCTTATCATTATCAAAGCTGATTTTTTATTTTAAAGATTGGTGTCTTTACTTTTTTGTTTTAATTTAAATATTAAAACAGTTTTGGGTCATTCAATCCATTCTTGCTGAACAACAACAACAAAATAAATAATAAATATTAAATTGTTATATTAAAATAAATATTACACAAAATTTTGAATGGCAGTTTAAAATTGAGCACAAAAAATATGAAACAGTACCGCTGTCTGACATTTACAACAGAATTTTTCTTGAGTTCCAAATCATACAAAATTAATTCTGAATGATCACTGCAGAATAGAGTACTGATGCTGAAAACCTATCACAGGGATAACATTTGCATGTCCCTTAACTGTCACCGTCCTGCCACCTGACATTACTGAGCAATATTAATTTGCAAAAAGGATACTCATTAGAGTCATAAAGCATTACTTTGCTACAGAAATCCACGTGTAAAGGTTTTTTTTTCCAAGATGTTTTGTAGAGACTAAGTTCAAATCAAATACCACCAAACTGTCCATAGTACTTTAGAATTGTATGTTTATTTTACAAACATTGTCAAAAGTATGAAAAAATACAGTTCATATTCCTGAAAACAGGGGGCACCGAGGTAAAGTCATCAATGTAAACGGAATTCTGGTGGCCATGCAAAATCTTATTGAAAGCTAATTTTTTTGCGATATCAACTTTAAAATTGGGATATAATTTGCTCAGATATGTATCTTTTAATTTTAGCAAAAAGGAAATTTTATGTATTATAATAATTTTTACATTTATTTATTTTTTATTATTTTCATAAATATAAACACACTTAACTTTTGTTTTATTTAATTTTTTTTTTTACTTTTTCACTTCAGCTACAATCTGACATCTACCATCTTGAAAATAAGACCAAGCTTCAATCTATGCACCAAAGTGTTGAAGATTGACAATCATTTAGGTTGAACATGTTATTTTCATGTTCATGTTTAAAAAGAGGGGACGACCGTTAAGGGGTTAAATAATAATTCAATAAATATAATATTTCACAATATTGCTGTTGTACTGTATTTTTCATCAAATACGGTCCATGTTGCATTGGTAAGCATACAAGACTTCTTTCAAAGCCATGTTCTACCCTACTATTAAGCCTTAATTAAATTCTCAACAGAATACAATCACCTCAAAATAGCAAAACGTATGAATGGTACTAAAAATTTGACATCTTTCTAGGTTCAAAATGTCCTGCAAACAGGCCAAAGGAAGGCTTCAAGTCTTGCAGATCTATCGGCTGCTTCAGTGTATCCAGGATGGAGATAAGACGTACATAGAGAAACTAATCAGCATGGGTGTTGACGACCTCATCAATCTGACCGAGCCACGTGATGGCAATGGGGTCCTGCACTTGGCAGCAGTGACCAACAAACCCGACATGCTGGAGTTCCTCGTTGATCAAGGTGCCCGTCCAGATGTGCAGGACAGAAGTGGACGCACACCACTGATGCTGGCTGCCGAACTTGGATATGATGGTATCGTGTCTCTACTAGCCAAGAAGAACGCAGACATGAAACTTGTAGACATAGAAGGGAAAGGTAATTGTTTTAGTTTTTACTTAATATATTGTTTAAAGGTATGTGTATGTGGACTACACAAACTCTTTTGGGACCAGTGGTCGTGTGTGAACTGCACATAGCAACATATTGCTGGTCCTCAAGCCAGCTTTTCTACTGCTTATGTTATGACATTCAGACACAATAAAGGAGTGCAAAAGCTAGAGCCTTTATTCTCTGTGCGTTTAACATGGTTGAATGAATGAATGAATGAATGAATACTAGAAACTAATCATAGACTGCTAAAAATTTTGAAAAGAATGTGGAGACAAGATTAAAAATAATATTTTACTTATTTACAAATAGATTTTTTTTTTTTAATATAGACTTATTTCTGATTAAAAAAAAAATGAAAAATTCTTGTTTTTCATCTCATGCACACGGGTCTGCTTGGACAACACTGGAATACATCGCATACAGTGTAGTCGCAGGAGTCCAAATATTTTAAAAGATCCGCAGCTCAAATCGGATCCAAGTTTTCCACATACAGAGATGATCGGAACTCATTCGACTGACTTCCGGTCTGTGGCTTGTCGTGTGCGGCTTCACACTTTTCTTTCATTTCACTGCATGGACAGAAAGAAAGGCTCTCGGAAGTGTGCATAAACATATTTCTTTATTTTCCTGGCAAAAACATTCCCCTTTAACAGCTCCCCTTTAAATTAAAAATATGAATGCAACTTTGAAATTTTTAGTCAAAGGCAAAGTAAATAATATGCTAACATCAATGTACTGTTTTATTTATCGATGTACAATTCCTCCACCAAGGGTTAAATATCAATGAAGATTCCAGTATTTGAGACCTCAGCAGCAATTAAGGCCTTTTCCCACCAAGGATAACTATAGAGATAACAGAACGGTTTCATAAGTGTTCTGAATTAAAAAGTTAATGTCATGATAAAAGTGCAAGAAAAAAAAAACTATTTCAGAATCACTCAGTTTTTTTATTGATTTAATTATCATTCTGTGAACATGCCTTTATCCTTCATAAGACAGTTTAAAGTCTGCATGAATCTGATTTTTTTTCTCCACATTCAGAATATTAAATGAGAAAACAGTGGGCGTGGCTTGTTTTTTTTTCTACTGCGAGCTGATTGGATGTAGTAAAGTAGGCATTTCATTCAGAAAGATCAGGAAACAGGTTGGGCAGAGTTATTACAACCTAAGAGACATCTCCTTGCCATTTCGGTTTGTTGTCAAAACTAACAGCTGGAGGGGCGTGGTTAATTATGTTAGCCACACCTAATACCTCAGAGACTGACATAATCTGAGAATTTAACTGACCACAAGTGCATTTTTTTTCATCTTAATGGCATGCACAGATTAATTGATCACCACAAAACTAGCAATGTGAGCTAACAAAATCATATTGTTAGTTTTGAATTTATTTGTACTTTAAGAGCATCCACATTGTCGACAAAGATCCTCAGTGGCAGGCAGCATCCTGCCATTTTGGAGATTTACTGTATGCAGTCTATCTAATTACAGATCAGGGCACGACCAGTAAAACTAGTGTGTAAACTGATCCAAGTAATCCGTACTGTGGCTTCTCTGCCAGGCGTGCTCTTCTACTGCCTCCACCCCACCAAAAGACACATGCGCTGCCTCCAGGTGGTCCTTAATGGCAATGCAGATGTCAACAATGTTTCAGAAGCTGGCATACCAGTGTTCCTGCTGGCCTGTGAACAAGCTCAGGACTGTGAAGGAATGTGCCTCAGCATCCTAGAGAGAGGAGCAGACCCCAATGCTACAAATCAGGTATGCAAATGTGGTGTAATTGATAATGGTGTATTTGAATCCTTGTTCCCTGAGCAGATTTAAACTTATGACCTTCTGAAAGAGTATCACCCATGTAATACCAAACCACTTATAAGTATGTGCCGATATTTAATAATTCACTATATTGTAATAATGAAGGACAGCATGGTGGCGCAGTGGGTAGCACAATCGCCTTACAGCAAGAAGGTCGCTGGTTCGAGCCCCAGCTGGGTCAGTTGGCATTTCTGTGTAGAGTTTGCATGTTCTCCTTGTGTTCACATGGGTTTCCCCCACAAGTCCAAAAACATGTGGTTTAGGTGAATTGGGTAAGCTAAAATTGTCCATGGCGTATGTGTATGAATGAGTGTGTATTGATGCTTCCCAGTGATGGGTTGCAGCTGGAAGGGCATCCGCTGTGTAAAACATATGCTGGTAAGTTGGGGGTTCATTCCGCTGTGGCGATCCCTGATGAATAAATGAACTAGGCCGAAAAGAAAATTAATGTAATATTGAACATGCACAATATTGATAATGTGAGGACTTCAAAATACAGTGAATAATCATTTAATATTTAAACTTCTAGAGTGTTTTTTGAGAATATTAATGTTGTATTTGCCGTATTGGTCATAACAACATCAAATGCTTTGAGACTTGATTGGTGAACTTAACAATTCAAACATTTTTACATTTTAATCTGGTCTACTACATGCTAAAATATTGATTGAAAATTTGGTGACTATTTATATAGTGTAGCAAATTACTTAATTGAACTAAACTCAAGATGAATACTACAAAAGCTCAAGTAATCTTAGATTATGTTAATGTATTAATGAATGCCTAATAACGCATTAAAATTGCAGTTGTAATCAAATTTTTTAAATGTAGCTAATAAATAATAAATTTCAGTTGTATTTTGAACTAAAATTAACATAGTGACGGTAATAAATCGGGATTTTTCATACTATTGATATCCATTAATTAACATTTACAAATGTGACAAGTGTTACTTGTTGTACCTTTCATCCTTTTTCAATTTAATTTGATTGAAACTAGGGTTGGGCGATGTCGACTAATTTGGCATTGTACAATGTCTAATGTGAAACATCGCAATGGACGATGGCATCGTCGTCAAAGGCGGCGGTGAATTAATTATTTATTATTAATTCATTCATTCATAACTAATAATCACTTTTTCTTTTTTAGCATGAATAGGCAGAGTGATCTGTGTCGTTATAATGGCGTCCACAAACTTGGTTGGTCAAAAGGTGCACAACCGAAAGGTAGAAACCAACAGTATCTGAGGTTTTTGTTAAAATTACTAAATACAAGCTTGAAAGCGAAAGATTGAAGCGATGTACTGACGCTGTGACATGTTACCTGATAGATTCAAAAGATACAAGAGTCCTTAGATAGAGACAAGATTAATGTTTAACAACTATAGTGAGATGCGATCCAGCTGTACATGCTTGATAACTGTTGACGTGCACTGCTGTCTGGGGTTTTGTGCTCAAAGCACCCATTGACTGCCTGGAGCTCAGACGCCCGCATATGCTAGAGCGCATGACAGTGTGTGTGTGTGTGTGTGTGTGTGTGTGTGTGTGTGTTTGTGTGTGTGTGGTCCGTGATGTGCGTTTTCAGGGGTATAGTGTGGAAGGAGGGATTTTCAGAAATGCTAGGTGAAACGCCCTTGTGGACGTGGATCGTTTTCATTCTAAAATGCCCTTATAAAACTAAGACGTATTAGTGTAAATGGGGCCGTCTGTATTTTTAGCAAGCGGGTTGTTGCTGTGAAGGGGGCAGGGTGGAGAATCGCGATGCTTGCTCAGCATCGTGATGTCTATCGGCCATCAACAATGGACGATGACATCGTCTATCGACCCAACCCTATTTGAAACATTTGTTTCCTCTGAACATTCATTTACAATTCATCATTTCATCATACAATTAACAATCATCCTTATTCATCTGATCTCCTTTATATCACCACTCATAGCTCCCTTAGATGCTCCTCCTCCATCCACCTCTCTGTCCCCTTTGCCTGTATCAGCACGATGGGGAGCAGAGCTTTCAGCCGCTCTGCTCCCAAACTCCGGAATTCACTTCCTCCCGACATCCACAACATTAACTCTCTCCCTCTGTTCAAATCCAGACCCTAAACTCATCTGTTCCAAATAACATACTTTTTATAACCGCACTACTACATTTTGTATTTTGTTTGTGTATTTTATCATCTTCTCTATTTTAATACTGTAGGTTAATTTTTTTTTTTAAGTTATAGAATTGTGTATATATGTTGTACAGTGACCTTGGGTTTCTTGAAAGGCGCTTTAAATAAAATGTATTATTACTGTTATTATTATTTATATACAAAAAGCTTTACATTTTTGGTTATTATATTTGTTAAAGTAACCTATTTTGCTGCTTAGGTCAATATCATGGCATATAGTAATAAATAGCGCAATTAATCGCTACAAGAGAAATCTGAAATCGTAATAAGCCTACTTATAAGTAAAGGTATCACATTGACTATACTGAGTAGTATTACCCTTCACTGTGTGTACATTATCACAGGAAACAGGTCGAACAGCTCTGATGGAGGCGGCCAGAGCAGGAGCATTAGAACTAGTGAGAGCCATCCTCAAGAAAGGAGGAAACGTCAATGCTCTGGACAAGAAGCGATTCCACGCAGCTCACTTTGCAGCTGAAAAAGGCTTCTTTGAAGTAATGACTCTCCTGCAATCTTCTTTGTTTTCTTTTGTCTATAAGCCATTACAATTCTCCCAGTGATTATTGATCAATGCTTTTAACTTCTGGTCATTTCCAGATCATTAAGGTGCTGTCTGCATATAGAGCAGATGTTGGCGGGGTGACAACAGAGGGCGATACACCTCTGCATTTTGCTGCTTCTGGTGGATACACAGACTGCTGCAGATTTCTAGCTCAAAGAGGTAAATGAACATCTCTCTTACAGAATCAATTGGTTGTTTTCACAAGATGTCATTGATGATGCGTGAAATAGAGATGGAGGGCAGGAAGTGATTCTTCTACATAGGAATCGCTAGCAGAACATCTAAATGTTTCTGTTTTATGTTGTTTATTTTTGTTTAAATTGGCTAAAATAAGAAATGCCGAACAGCTTTTATGGACTTCCTAAGGTTTTGGCTCAAAAAGGGGAGAAAGTTGAAGAAAGTAGCTGAAAAACGGAAAAAAAGGTGGCATGTAATCAACACAATACATCCATGCATGCAAACTTTTTTGAAACGTGATAATTAATTTGACAGCACCAAAAAAGATTATATACAGGCCTAGCTATGTGTATAAAAATGTTACTGTGTTATTCATTCATTAATTTTCTTTTCGGCCTAGTCCCTTGATTAATCTGGGTGTAGCGGCTTTGAAATGGCGCTATTGTTGGTAGAGTGAGCAAGTTTTTAACGCGTAAAAGTCTGTAAGCAAAATAGATGCAAATAAAAACGTCTTTATTTTCCAATCAACATCCAATCAACAGAATTACTTAATCACTTTCCTTAATCTATATGCACACTTCTCTGTTACCTTAAGTTGAGTTGAATTACACTCAGTTACGAGACGAGACGAGACGGTCAAAAACTGTGTGCTTCCTACCAACACTGTCTTCCTCCATGCAGTGAAGCCAGTTATTTAGTGTCGTACTGACACCTAGTGGTCAATCGCCAATATACAGTGTATGGCTCCTACACGGGGGTCGCCACAGTGGAATGAACCGCCAACTTATCCAGCACGTTTTCACTCAGCGGATGCCCTTTCACCATCAACCCATCTCTGGGAAACATCCACACACTCTCATTCACACTCATACTCTAAGGACAATTTAGCCTACCCAATTCACCTGTAGCGCATGTCTTTGGACTGTGGGGGAAACCGGAGCACCCAGAGGAAACCCACGCGAAAGCAGGGAGAACATGCAAACTCCACACAGAAACGCTAACTGACCCAGCCGAGGCTCGAACCAGTGACCTTCTTGCTGTGAGGCGACAGCACTACCTACTGCGCCACTGCGTCATATTAAAATATATAAAAATTAGATACAAACACCACCACACAAAATCCAGGAGAAAATAAATAACGTACCCTGCCCTGTAATTGATGTAATGAAATATTTGTCTTGTTTTGCAATAATCTGTGTCTTTACTGGCGTTTTGTTGGAATAAACAACCGTAACGTTAACGTCTAAATGCACAGCAGCGGTGAATGTTTGAAAGTTCATCTACTGGACAAAAAAGAAATGCAACCTTTGTGACAAAACTAGACGGTTATTATTGTGGAGAACTTTTCCCACTTACAAATAATAATAACAATAACAATAATAATATTAATAATAATGTAGGCTATGCGTCCAAATTTTTGTATGCTTTCATCTGTTATTTCAGGTTGTCTGGAAGATATCTGCATGGGGAAAAAACTAAAGGAATTTATAATAAGCATGTTTTTGAACCACGTAGTATAGTGTATAATGTGTACAACTCTTTGTTAATGAATACTAAAGAATACTGGAGCATAGTTAACTGATAAACTGTAATAAATCCTTCAATATTAATGTTAACTGTAGTGCATTGTGATTAAAGCGTAGAAAAATGAAGCTTATTGAATAACTTGTTTAGTACTACACTTGTGTTGTACCACAGCAACAACATAATTACTACGACAATTTAATTCAAGTAATTTTCTATAGTATGCTTCCAAACACTTTAGTATTTACTACTTTTCCATGTAACGTAATAGCTTATACAGCATCTACCGCCTCGATGACAAGCAAATATATTTTAGTTTAGTAGAAAACTCAGCCCTCTTCATGATATAGGATCCTACCCAACACATGTGGTTATTTTCTATCTATATCTTCTTTGAAATATGGTATAAATCGCAAAAATACGAACTTCCCTTTATGTGTACCATTTAGTTTTTCACTTTCTGCCCTCCATATGAATTTCGTGTGTCACCAGAACCACATGATTGAAAACAACCTATAAATTTGTTATGAAGTCTACTCGAGATTGTTTATTAAGTACTGTAGTACTTTACAAATGACGGTGTGCATTTTAATATTAAACAACTGACTAGCTGAACTGTAAAGTAGTTTATTATAATTGCATTTTGTGATATTACTACAGTCTGTTTTGTGTATTCATTCATTTTTAACGGAATGCTTAAAGAGTGGTCACTGAAAAAAGTTTATGTATTACATTGTTCTATTCTGCTTTCCCAATCTGAGTAGTCCATCATAAATCAGTATACACAATATATTTATTGTTTTATTATTCTTTAATACATGATTAGTGACTGTTCAACAGTAATGTCACAATAATAATATTTATTAATGCTTCATGTTTGGAAAAGTAAAATTATTACAAAATTTTTATTCAGAAAACTGAAAATAATTACTTACATTGTGCAGCCCTACCATAAAACCAATATTCAATACAAGCTGAACTGAAATATACTAGCTAAAGTAAAATAAATCTAAAATATAATCTTTAATTCTTTTATATATTTCTACTTCAGGGTGCAATCCCAAATTGAAGAACCAAGAAGGTCTGCTTCCCCGTCAGATTGCTAAGGACTGTGGGCACAAGGCCACTGTAAAAGAGCTTAAGAAGGCTGAACGGCTGCATGGAAAGTCCTCAAAAGGAGGCACGAATGGGCCATGGGCTCTGATGCTTCATGACTGGTCTCATGAAAATGAGAATGAACTGAGAAGTGCTTTCGAGTCTGCAACAGATGGCTTCATTGGAGTAGAGTTTGTGCCCAAGGGAACATTTGTGTCTGTTCTGAAGGAACTTCACGCTCCTCTAGATGATGTTCAAATTCACATTCTTCTGCTTGCTCTTGATAAGAGAAGAGAGGGCTTTATAAATATAAACGACTTCTTAAGAGGTCTTAAATATCTTCCGAAGACATATGTTATGGCTTCCTATGGGCCGAAGAAGAAGAAGGCAGCCAAGGCAGGAAAGACCAAAAAGAGTAAGTTTAACCTTCCATTGCCCATCTGTACAGTCCCGCAAGATCTCATTCATCGGCGTGATGATGGAGGGCCACCTCATTTTATGATTGAAAGTTGGCAGCATGCTACAGACACCCAAAGATACGACCGGGACCATCGACCGGAACGTCCTATTGAAGATGACACGGCATGGTACATCGATGAGCCAGAAAAGATATACATCAATTTGAACTACTGCGTTAAAACTGGAGATATTGAGTCTCTTAGGTTGGCACTCAGCCAAAAAGTTCCTGTAGATGTGAAAGATCGCTTCTACAAGACACCACTTATGGCTGCATGTGCAAGTGGGAACTACGAAATGGCGAAGTTTCTCCTCGATAATGGGTAAGGCTTAGCAACTGTAAGCATTGAATTAAAGAGACAATACAGCCAAGGACAATTCTCTTTTCATTTGCTCACTCTCATGTTTTTCTAAACCTGTATTAGGGGTGTGCAGCATTTATCGTTTATAATATTGTAGTTTCAACAATGTGCAGGAAAACCTTATGTCAAATTTTGCAAGAGTGCCACTTTTCTGAATAGCAGCATATGAGCACAGTCGCAAATGTAATTTTGATTTTATTGTATATTGAACAGTACATCAACAAGCAAGAAGTTAATATTAAAAGTAATTTTTAATGCTTTGCAACAAAAATTGTTCCAAACAAAGCTGGAACAGAACATCTTCGTGTTTGCTGTCAACACTGTGGTATTTCTTTTTTAATCATCCATCTTATTTCGAGATTCAATGATCCATTTATTTAGACTTACTTGCTTCATTTTTAAAATGAGTCAGTCAAAACAAATCATATCAATGAATTATTCAATGAATTACTGATTAGAACAGTCACATGCTGCCACCTATTGGTGGTTTTAGTGTCAAATTTGTCATTAACAGCACTGAGGACAATCAGTAGATATTTAGAACAATCAATTGACGAATCACCCAAAATCTTGAGATTATTTTTTGTCAGTTCTGCACACCCTGTTTCGTTTTTTTGCAGAACATATTTGAAGAATGTTGATAATGCAGGACTTTGGCAAAAAAAATTACAATGGAACTCAATTTGAACCAAAGCAGTTTAGTTATCAACATTCTTCAAAATATCTTTTTCATTGTTTCACAGAAAAGTAAATAATACAGGTTTGGAAATATATAAGGGTAGCAAACGACAATTAAAAAATTTTTTTTAAAGGGGTGGTCCACTACGATATCATATTTTAAACTTTAGCTGATGTGTAATGTATAGCTGTGTGAACATAAACAACATCTCTGAATGTAATATGCTCACAGTTCAATGCAAAAAGAGACATTGGCTTTTACAGAGTTTGCTTAGCAAAGCCTGCAGCCAACAAAGTTTTGGGACTACAAATAAATACATCCGAGCTAGTGAGATTACAAGGGTTTTAGGTTACACGTATTCACCACACACATACACCCTGCACAGCGAAGGGGCATGGCCAGAGGGGCTGTAATGTTATAGCAGAGAAAGCTAAAATGCAGTACAATCGTTGCTAATTCCACAGAGCTTCTTCTGTTTGTGTATTTGGGCATCCAATTGACATTACACAAAGACAAGTGCTTACAGTTTAATTTTAATTGTGTTCCAGAGAATTATATATATATATATATATATATATATATATATATATATATATATATATATATATATATATATAACTAGCATTTGATAAAGGACAACTACCAGAATCTTTCCCAGTTCAGTGCTGGATTCGGTCAAAAACACCTCCAGCTGACAAGCTGTGGATTGTGAGCCACAACCTGTAAGTATTTTTATTTGTTAAAATTGATCAATTGCATGCACAGTTTCTAGAATTAACGGTATGTTGTAACGAGCACGTAAACAAGGTTGTAAACAACGGAAAATGCTGTTTGGCACCGCTAACAATTTAGCTTTAAATTCATATTTATTAGTCAAACCGCTGTAAACACCCACATTCTTCAGCAGCGCTGCATGTCTCTCTGTGCGGATGCTTTCCTTGTCTCTATATGCAGCCGCTTTCCCTGCATTCTACATTATTCCAAATATATTTGAAAGACACCTGTCAGATTTTATTTTAGAGAGCAGGTGTGAGGTTCAGCTGCGTGCTCTTCATTTTCTGTCTGATTCAGGCAAACTGATATGGCTGCTTACACAGCAAAAAAGCATGTGCTTGTAAGGGGATAACGTGGTGACGTCGAGGCAATTCACGAATCACAGCATAATATGTTAGCTGACTAATCAGAGCCTCTTCAGTGCGGGCCTTTTAGAGGAACCAGGAAATATGACAGGGGTTTTCATGTTAGTTGAGTAGCTGTAAACAATCAAAATAAGATATATGAAAAAGTAAGGTGATTTTCTACAAGAGAAGCATGAGCATACATTGCTTTGCATCTTATAAACGCTACCAAGCCTTAAAAATACACGCTGGACCACCCCTTTAAAGGAATAAATGTTTGCAGTACATTTGCATATGTCCATGGATAGTAAAACAATTTTAACGAATTAATAACCTCCTCACAGGGCTGATGTGAATGCATGCGATCAGTTCAAATGGACACCTCTGCACCACGCCTGTCATGCAGGACAGCTGGACATTATACAGCTGCTCCTAGAGGCAGGCGCTTCAGTGGACCGGCCCGCCCTGAATGGAGCCACTCCCCTAATGAGAGCCATTGAGAGCTGTAGGCCGTCCTGTGTGGAGTACCTCATCAAAGCTGGTGCAAAGATCAATGCAGTAAATAAGACAGGTACAGCCCACCTTCTTGCAAAAACAGATGATAATACTCAACATCTCAATATCATAAGTCTATTTCGTAAGCGTCTCAGTGCAGACCTTACGTCATTTCCACAATGCCACCTCATCTTTTGAACAACCTGATTTACAGTGCATTAAATCTCTGAGATTGATCAACTTTTGGCTCTGCTGTCATTCGACTCAGGAACTTTCAATCCTTTAATTGCAGAGCAGAACTGCTTGGATGTCGCCCACGCTTATGCAGACTTCAGGGTGGTGGATTTGCTCCAGGCTAAGATTAATACCCAACCCAGGCCTAAGGACAACAAGAAGCCACAGCCAGTCAAAATCCACCACAAACCAACACCGGCCTCAACGCCTGGCTCTATCAAAGAAAAGGTACAACACATGCACTTTATGTGATTAGACATGTTTACAAAGCATCCCATAGAATCAATCTTTAAAAGAAAATGTATATAAACATTTACAAAACTGTTTTGAGAAAATAGACACAGTGTGTGGGGTGTCAGGGCTCAGAAAGGTGTTTATTAAGTGAAAATTTCAAACATAAAATGTCCAAAAAAAGTGATATATATATATTGTTCTTGATAGTAAAATTGAACAGTCTAAAAATCTGGTGCCTAGGAATCACTATAAAAATGTAGTTTGTTCAGGATGGGAGCTGGTAAGGGAGCCGGACATGATCTTACCACTCTGTTCTGGAGCACAAGGAGCATTAGATTTGACACAGAAGCTCAGAGATCTAAGAAATCTTTAGGAATGCACAAGTTATAGCAAATGATTCAAATCATGTTTTACCTTAAAGGTATAAAGTACTGCCATTGGGGAAACAGTACAGATTTCCTTTGTGTAAAATGTAATCGTTATAAGAAGTCATTTATACCAGTGTCCATTAGCATTTTAAATGGTAAACTACCTTAAAATGTCTTTTAAATATCATTTTTGTTAGTAAATGTTACATGTGGTCTCTTTTTTGTATGTATACTGAGGCTAGGGTGCTTTCACACCTAGACTTTTGTTTTGGAACCTGTCTTGTTTGCCCAGTTAGCGCAGTTCGTTTGGAATATGTGAATCCAGCAATCGCGCTCGGATCCGTGCCAAAACAATCGGTCTGAGATCGCCTGAATGAGGTGGTCTTGGCTCGATTGAAACGAACTCTGGTGCGGATCGATTGTAGTGAGAAAGCGATACGATCCGAGCCCGGCTATATCACAGTGTTTTATGGATATGTAATAGGCATACGGCTATATGAAGAGAGAATTATGAGTAGGGCGGGAGGTCATTCTAGACATCCAAAGTCTCTTGGAAGTTCCGGGAGTCTCCCGTAAATGCACAGAGACTCTCGGATGCCCACAAGTGATAATTAAATCTCATTCATAAACAATGAGTGATAATCTCCCGGAAATTGTGTCGCGCACCCTTCTCACCCATCCCCATCGCATCCCTCATCAATCTTCAGACACGTCGCGCGCACCCTGTTAAACACCACCAAAGCCTGATATGCTAGCTAGCTCATCCACTCTCGCTTTCTGGGCCCACAAAAACAGAAATCAGCATCTAAAATGAGCCAAACAATTCCTGCACAAGTTGTGCCCCACTTTACTATTTTTTAATGTTTGCAAAGCTGCTTTACTCACACATACTGTAAGTCAAAAAAGGGAGGAAACAATTATCATAATTTCCGTTTTATGCCAAATTTACCAACATTATATTTTCTTCACAAAATAGTCTGAAGTTGACCTGCAAGAAATGCTGTTTCCCTTTCCACATATTTTATGCCGACATGTATGGTGTGGATGCAGGTTGATACAGTTCCAAACATTTTGATGCCATTATATAAATGCGGTAATCACACATTCTGCAAACAGAGGCAATAGATAACAGGTCATTATATTGATTTGCTGTATTCAGATTTAAATTTTTTTCTCCACACTGGGGCCAGAGTGAACATATGAAATTTTGTAGGATGATCAAAAAGGTCCATAGGGCGCAAAGTGCAGTGTGACCAAATGAAACGCTCTTCTTTGCTCCAGTTTGCTCATTTTCCAAAGCGTGTGAATACAATACTGTCTTTGCCAAATATGTCATTTCAAATCTAAGGTCGATTGATGATAAGATCTGTGATCAAAATCATCTCGCTGGGAAATTAAGGTGACACAGCAAATGAAACCCAAGTAAAGAGTAAGTAAATGAGTTCAAGCGTGTCACATTACGCCCCAACAAGGCATGGGCGGCTTTGTAACTCTGTAAGCGTGCTCAGGGAAACCCCACTAAACCTTTGTTGAAAGTCACACCATTGTCAATGTGTCATCGCGTCCGCTGTGTCTTGATTATGGTGTTGGCGCTTTATCTTCACAGCAGGGCCCCGTTCCCACTCCTACAGCCTCCTCAAACTCAGCAGTCAAGAAAGCAATGAAGAAAGACAGTGTTATCGTGCACAGCACTCAGATCACCAGCGGCAGGCTCAACAAATTGGACATCAGTTTTGTGCCAAGAACGGTAAGCTGGACAACACTCACAGGTGTACGCACAGATAAATGTCAACTACGTGTGTGGGGGCACAGTAGGCCTCATACACTTACAGTAACTAATGTTTTCATACAAAATCAAGTGCACATGCACATATATTCTTCTTATTTGCTTTCTACTCCTAAATAATGTGGATTGGTCTACATGCAAAATCTAGTGCACATGCACATACATTCTTCTTACTTTCTTTCTACACCTAAATAATCTAGAGTGCGTTTCCCAAAACTATCATTAGCCAACTAAGGTCGCAAATTGCGTCGTTACAAACATAATTTGTTGATTTGGTGTTTCCCAATCCATCGTTCCAACAAACATTCGCAAACTCCGTCCCAAACTTGTATGCTTGCAACTACACCTCTAGAGCTGTAGTTAGAAGCATAGTTCCTGGCTGTGCTCTATTTCCAGTTTCCCCCCTATGCCCTATTTAGAACATTGTAACATTTAAACTTGGAGTCATTTAAGAAAAAGCAATAAAGTCATCTCTCTTAGGTCTAATTTGCTTTGCAAGATTTTTTTTTACAGCTCAGTTTTAGCGATCTTCATATTGTCAATTGCTTTCCCTTCGCAGTGCACTTTTTGCCACTTTAAAAACTTTTAAAAGTTATAGGTGACCTGTTATTTAAAAGCGGAATTTATTTTATGTCTCCAAAGCTTGTCAATACTAAAATATACAGTATAATATACGTGAATGGTTTTAATTTATAGTAGGTTATTTATTAAAAAATGTATCTGCCCTGTATATGACATGGGCCTTGTGGTTAGAACATTTCTGCAATGATTTAAAAGTGTCAAAATGCAAAAGTAGACTTTTACAATAAATAAAATAAATAAATAAATAAACAATATCCTACTTAATAACAATAAAAAATCTTAATAAAAATATTAATTATTTTTAAGTGGGACTTTTTTATTTCTTAATAAGTGGCTTACTGTAAATTACAACCATTAATAGCAATTAATCCTGTATGATATATATATATATATGAGATTAAAATATGTGTTAGCTAAGTGGTTTAGAATAGTTTTAGAATAGATTATGGAATATTCTTAATATTATTTGTAAAGGAAACACTGGTCCTATATGTGCCGTGTATATATATCTCAAATCAAGAGTGCATATTTTTATTAAAAACTAATATTGGCAGTTTTTTCTTAAATGTGTGTGCGTGTAAAACAATATAATTTGCACAAAAAATTATAGGTTTTTTCTTTAAAGAAACTCCGTTTAGAGCATCATTATGGACGTTTTACGTTATAACTATCATGGTTCAAATGACAGATCTGTGACAGAGAAACCATGGTTTTAGGAAACACTCGTCACTACATCGTTCTTTTCCCAAACAATGCATCGTACTATTATAGTTCAGCCACGAGTTATGTTGTTGTTGTTTGGGAAACGCACCCCTGGATTGGACTGATTAATTAAGTCTCTAAAAAAAGACAAGAGTAAAGCATCTCTTTAAATGTAAACAATCACGGTTTGCATTAAAACGTGCAGCAAGAGCTGACCATGCATACTTTTGTGAGTATCTGTTGAAATACATTGATTGTCTTGTTTTACACAGCGGATGCCTTTACTGATCCAACCCAGCACTGACAGTATGCTAACTCTTAAATCCCCGTGCTGGGAAACACCCATACATGCTCATACACTACAGCCAATTTAGTTTATTCAAGTCACCTACACTCCATGTCTTTGGATTGGAAACTCACACAACTACTGAGTAACTATATATTTTATATATAGTAGGCAAAATCTACAAATCTACATATTTTTCTCAGAGTTTGTGGTAGATGTTAATTATTTAATTGCACAATCGTAAAATGTAGTATTCAAAACACTTATTTAAAACATTTTTAGAATTATATGTAATCAAATCTATTTTTACACAAACATGTTTTCACACACTGTTAATTAAAAAATGTGATGTGGTTGCAGGTTTGCTTTCAGTGGATTATTATGTCTTTTTTTCTGTGCTACTGTGCTTCTGTTGCAGAACTGGCAAAACCATCTGACCACCAGAGATTTGATGGACAGGATGGCAAGGAGGAGGCAACGTTTCAGTTTTGAGGTGGACTTTGATGACTTTAAGATGCCTTTCAATAAAAACATTCAGAAGAAATCTATGGAGTTTGAGCTCACTGACTAACAGGTGAGCTCTATGTCTTTTCTAAAACTGAAAAAGTGTAGAAATATTGATGAGTGCAAAAGCAAAAACTATTATTTTAAGGGATTTGCACAGACTCCATAGAAGAGAGGTATTACATTGTAGCTTGTGCTTTTACCCAAGTCTCTTTAAGGCAAGTCATTTCTTTGAAACACATTGCCATCTTCAAAACGCCTCTTGGGCAGTATGCTCGGGCATTCTGTCTGATAGGGGAAACATCAAATTCTCTAAAACTGTTTGCCAAGCTTACAATTACAATACATATTTGGAATCACTAATAAAGTTAAACAACAACCGTCTCATAAGATTAGTTTTTAAAAGACCAAATCAAACAAAATCGCCATATTTTCAGGTTGCCAACGTTAATGCGCACTCGAAAGTAACAAGATCACGACACCAACCTCACTTATGGCTGTTCTACACATTATCATCCTCTGGATAATGCTTTGTCAGATCGCGCTGCTCTTCTGAAGTAAATCACAACTTTCTCGAGTCTCTTGCAGAAATAAAAGTGACTCTTTGTTTACAAGTTTGTGGGCATTTGAGTAATTGCTGTCATGTGACGTGCATTTACAGACAGGAGGGACTGTACCTCACGTTTGTTTCATACAAATTACACAAACAGAAAACTTTTGTTTTCAAGTGTACTTGGTTAATTTAAAAGTAAAGCTTTATTCAGATATATTTCTTATGTCTGTGAAGCATGTATTCGCTGAAATTCCAGTGGATTTGTTGACCACCAAACTGTCGTAAAAACACACGTCTGGTCCAAACTTCTCCCTCTGATAAACATCAGTCTATAGCGATCGATGATTGGCTCCTGTACTAGTAGGCGGGAATTCATTCACCATATTTGCCACTTTTCCCCATTCAAAACTATACGAGTGACACATCTTGTGTATTCTATAGTCTTTGCTTTTACTATACATTAACAACATGACAGACAATAAGATATACAGTGTGTCTTAAAGGGTAAGTTCACTCAAATGAAATTGTGATGAACTACTAAACCTAGTGTCATTCTAGACTCCTGAGAATGTCATTATTTTAGTGTTATTGATGTTTATGTATTGATATCTATCCTTGATAGTATTCTGATTGAAACTCTGAAGGCATATAATATGTTTTTTCGTATTTTTTGAACTTTAAACGAGTTGGAAAGCTTGCCGTTTTTAGAGGATGAGGGAGCTCTCAGATTTCACAATATTAATTTGTGTTTGTAAGGGAGTTTTGGAACAACATGAGGACAATCAATAGCAGAATTTTCATTTTGGAGTGAACTGAGCCTTTAATACACACACTAATTGGTGGAATATCTGCAGGTTGTCACTGTATGTCACATACACTATCAATTGTGTTGCTTCACTTGCCATTCACAAATCCTCTCTCGTTGCCTACTTTAAATTTGTACATACTACTCAACTCACATACTGTTGATTGCCTTTTAAGTGGTATAAAAGTAGGCTTGTTTAGATGCAGGAAGAAAACAGGGACCTTTTTCATTTTATCACCAGGCCCTGGCATTCTTCCAACCTTCCTTACCATAATAAAATCATATTTAGCATTGGGCATCTGTAGTTTTGGTACTTATATACTGTTTGTTTGATGCTGTAGTGACTTAGGGATTAATAGCGCACGTCTCACGGCTGTTTCTCTGTCGTCTCAGAGAGGGAGGTACGGTAAGTAAGATTGATTATGCGTTTAGGAGAGGCATGAGATGAGAGCTGCTGCCTACGTGCTGGCATGCAGTTAGTCTCCTCCATGTCTCAGCGTCTGTCGGCTGTGCTGAGTACAGGCCTTTCACCACAGGCAGCGCTGCGCAAAACCCCTCATGTTGTTTATCTCAGAAAACCAAGCTAGCTTTAACTAAAATGGATACAGTAACTACTGATTAGCCAGGTCTGACTTAGTTGTAGTGGAAATGAGTACATTAAAACTGTCTGCTAATGTAAGCCATTTGTATTTTCTCTACTAAGATAGCAATGGCCTTGGAATAGATTCTAGATTCTTTCTGGTATAAGTAAATGCGCCACTCTTGTATTTTTTTTTTCTCGCTGTTGATCTGTTTGGCCAACAGATGGCGCCATAGTGTTTACATTTACAGCGTGTTTTGGATGGTTGTTCTAAGCTCCTTTGGGACTCTTGTGTTACAGCCTCAGCACAGTGCTGCAAAATGGCAGCCAAGACAATTGTGATTGTTTAGAGTTGCATTTTGATCTTTAATTTAGATCACATGTAGTTAAAGTTTTAGTCAGCATATGCATTTATGGATATTATGCTTTTTGAATCATAGCTGCTGTCTTTCTGATGCATTTTTTTGCTCAAAAATCAATAGTGAAATACCACAATTTAGCAAAAAGCATTCGCACAGCGTTAAAGAAATAAATCTGAGTGCCAAATCAACATAGAAACACATTTACTGTAACCGCAGCGTCAGTAAATGTCAACACTGGCATCTGAAAAACAGAGATAAGGTGTTTTGTATTTGTACGACGTGGATCTGATTAAAAGCGCCCATGTCTGCTGATACCAGCGTTTACCACAGAATTAGATCGTTAGATTGCTTTGCCTTCAAGCTCTGTTGAGTATGGTTACATAACAAAATAAATGGTCAAAACCAACACTTATAAATCAAGGCTATTGAAATTACTGGCTTTCCACACATCCATCAGATTATGGAGAATTTGTGTCAATTATCAGATACTGTAACTAGCAACGGAGCGATATATATGGATTTTGGTGTTTGCATGTGTGTCTGAATCCAATTTTTGACTATGTTTGATACGGAGGCTGAGGAAGAGAAGATAAAACAACAAAAGAGCAAATGTGAGAGTGGCAGAGAGAGAGAGAAATAGGGGTGGCTCAGAGTGCGTCAGAGAGAGAAGGACAGGGCGAATGAAAGTGATAGTGTGAGTGTGAACCCGTTGGTGACATTCTTCATTGTAGATGTGGGAAACACAGAGTAGTGTGGGTTGAGTCAGGGATGGAAATGGTGTGAATATTTAATAAAATCAATGCTCTTGGCTTCAGTACAAACAAGATCTTTTAAGAGGAAAGAGTACACAGATACACATTGTTTTTACATGGGCGTATGTTTGCACATTAATGCGTGCATGTCAATTAATCTCAACTGACATTGTTTTTTATCTTTATACTAAAGAACATTTCTGTGTTTAACAGGATTTTAGAAAAAAAAAAAAAAAAAAAAAAATATATATATATATATATATATATATATTACAGATTTCTTAAACACTAGCTGACAAAGGTCTTGGCCTCTAGTACTGTAAGGTCTGACTTTGCTTAGAAGTCTTGTCACTTAACAGAAATAATGTACAGTATAGAATATAAAGTCATGGTCCAGTGGAAAAATAATTAATATTGTGTCTGATTCTCATGGAGGACTGCATCCATACATCTCTGCAATGACTCAAATAACTTATTAATAACGTCATCTGGAATGACAAAGAAGGAGATCAAGATTCTTTAGATTCATCATCAATGCCTCCTCTATCTTACCCCAGACATGCTCAATAATGCTCATGTCTGGCGACTGGGCTGGCCAATCCTGCAGCACCTTGACCTTCTTTGCATTCAGGAACTTGATGTGGAGGCTGAAGTATGAGAAGGAGCGCTATCCTGCTGAAGAATTTGCCCTCTCCTATGGATATTATCATAATGGGCAGCACAAAAGTCCTGATACCTCAGACTGTTGAAGTTGCCATCAACTCTGCAGATCTCTCACACGCCCCCATACTGAATGTAACCCCAAACCATGATGTTTTCTTCACAAAACTTGACTGATTTCTGCGAGAATCTTGGGTCCATGCGGGTTCCATTAGGTCTTTTTGCAGTAGTTGTGATGATTGGGATGCAGTTCAACAGAGGATTCATCGGGAAAATTTACCTTCTACCACTTTTCCAAACGATCAACTAAAAGTCAAGCTATTATTTATTGCTCTTACAACTGGGATTGACGACAAGACTTTTTTCAGGTAGCATACAGTTGGTCAGAATTATTAGCCCATCTTTCAATTTTTTTTCTTTTTTAATTATTTTCCAAGTTATGTTTGTCAGAGCAAGGAAATTTTCACAGTATGTCTGTTAATATTTTTTCTTCTGGAGAAAGTCTTATTTGTTTTATTTCGGCTAGAATAGAAGCAGATTAAATTTTTTAAAAAGTAATTTTAAGGTCAATATTATCAGCCTGTTTAAGCTATATTTTTTCGATAGTCTACAGAACAAACCATCGTTATACAATGACTTGCCTAATTACCCTAACCAGCCTAGCCTTTAAAGGTCACTTTAAGCTGTATAGAAGTGTCTTGAAAAATATCTAGTAAAATATTGTTTACTATCATCATGGCAAATATAAAATAAATCTGTTATTAGAGATGAGTTTTAAAAACTATTATGTTTAGAAATGTGTTGAAAAAAAAATCTTATTTCGGTTAAACAAAAAATGGGGAAAGAATAAACAGGGGGTCTAATAATTCTGACTTCAACTATATATACAATATATGAAATTAAATTAATTTCTTGCTTTTGATAGAACTATCAAATGCTTACCAAAGATTTATTTGATTAAAATGTGATTAAATTACTACAATTAAAAAAAGTTAAACTGTTGCTTGTTTACATTTTTCTCCCAAAATGTCATTTATTCCTGTGATGTTAAAGCTTGGTTTTCTTCAGCATCATTTCTTCAGTCTTCTGTCACATAATGCTGCAGAAATCATTTTAAAATACTGATTTGATGCTCTTTATTTAATTTATTTTTTGCTTTAATATTTCCGTTTAAACCTTTACATACTGACATTAAAAGGTGTTTGACACCTGATACTGTATATAAGTACAGCAGACTAATACTGTAAAAGTAACGATAGTCTTTTGATATTTTATTTGCTAAAGAATTCTGGAAAATGCATTATAGTTTCCATCAAAATATTCAGAATCTAATAATAATTAGTATTATTTTAAAATTA